CCGGGCTGGGGATTTGAACCCGCCACCTTAGGTGTATGTGGCTGGTGCCTTAGCCGCTTGAGCCACAGGCGCCGAGCCTTCCATCTGTCTTTTACCTGTATTTGGAACACACGTATTAATCTCCTATTGACATGGCACTGTCCCTTCCTCTCAAGTAACTCTTGTGAGTTCTTTCTGAAAAGGAAAGGGCACGATCTGCTGTCATTTGGGCCTCTGAACCTTCTCTGTCCTCCTCTTTCTCACCTTCAATGCTCTGTTTATTCCTAACCCAATTATGAAGCATCATTCCTTCTGGGCAAACATCTTAAAATGGCCAGACCCTCAGACTGGGTATTCTGAAACTAATGATAGAAGATGTAGGTTAGATGGTTATTAATAGGTTTCTTCACACAGAAAACCTCCTGGGAAGTGGGAAAAGGGCAGAGGGCAAGGCCTTTAGCTGTATGGCCAAGTGGGCAAGGAATCCTGCTTAGGGATGGTGGAAATCATAAACTTCTGAGGGAGTGCAGGCTTTGTAGAGGCAGAGTGAGACTTGAAGGGGGTCTCCAGCTTCCTGTCCCTCCTTGGTCCCACCCCAGGGCATCCTCCTGAACTGGACCAAGGGTTTCAATGCATCAGACTGCGAGGGCCAAGATGTCGTGTATCTGTTACGGGAAGCCATCAGGCGAAGACAGGTAGATGCCTGCTTTAGGGGTCTTCTGGGGCTGAAGCAGGCCTTGAAGGGAGCAAAGGGTCTTCTCCTGCTGCCTGAGAAAGGATCTTCTGCAATAGAGATCTCTGGGTCCCTTGCTGGTTGCTGTGACAACCGTGTTGCCCAGCAACTAGCAGCATCCTTTTGTGTGCAGGCAGTGGAGCTGAAGGTGGTTGCCATTGTCAATGACACGGTGGGAACCATGATGTCCTGTGGCTATGAGGACCCCCATTGCGAGATAGGCCTCATTGTTGGTGAGAAGGGCCCTGCCCTTTTGTGCCCCTACTGCTTGATAATTCACTGCCTTCTGTTGATTCCTCAGTTTGGATGGTGTGGGATTATTTCTGTCTGACCCAATGGGCCCTGCAACATTGTTTTGGGCTGGGAGTCTGGAGCTTGGGTGTTTAGTTCAGCTTAGCTACTGACTTGTAGTCATTTAAGCTCTTTGAGCCTCAGTTAGCCCATCTAGCAAATGAGTCTGAGCTTTGGAGTCACACAGATTTGCGTGGAAGTACTAGCCTTGTGCTTCCACCTGTATGACCTTGGACAAGTCACTAGAGCTGCGGTTCCTCATCTTGAAGGTGGAGATAATAACAATGCCTATGTCAGGGGGTCATGAGGATGAATCAAGAAGGAGCAAAATATGGCACAATGCCTGGCTCATGGCACACATTCATTGTTTGGAACTGGCCGGGAACCAATGAGCCATGAGGGTCCTTCAGATAGTCCAATATTTTTTTTTTTTTTTTTTTTT